ATTATCAGTGTAGATATTAAGATGATTGATATCTTTTTTATGACATTATAATATCAAACTGATATGCAAATATAATATAATATGCAAACATACATACATTTTTCAAACATATAAGAGTCATTTTATTTTAATGATTAGATAATGTAGAAACAATGATCTTAGTTTTTAAAGGCATTATCTAGGTAGCTATTAAGATGATACATGGATTTATAATATCAAACTGATATGCAAATATTTAGAGTATTTTTTTAAATATTTTGTCCCACTGTGCGAGGGCAACTGCCACCGTGGTTGTCATTAGTCCGCTGCACTTGCTGTTGTAATTGTGACAGGAGCAACGAGCACGGATCGCTAAAGGGTCGATCTCCAGTTGAAGGTGCACTTGGTCACCTGTATTACCGCGGTGGTTGGGGAGGGGTTCCACTGTGTCCACTGTCGACTGGCGGGTTTTCTGCTGATCGTGAGTGCCAGAAGCTGATTTCAGCACGGCTACCGATAAGCAACCGCTTCCAAGTTGCCTCTTTTTTATACATTTTTTTTTTTTTTGTTTATTTTTTATTTCGGCTTTGACAGACGCGTTGATTGGTTTTGTTGGGCGGTACGGTAAGGTGAATGCGGAGCGCTCTTGATTCCATGAGACATGTAAATTGCTGAGAGCCCTGCCGGAAAATACAGAAACTGGTACAATTTTTCGCCCTTTTTTTCGGCAATATTTTCGGCTCCTCTTGTTGTTGCTGATTGTATTTTGTTGATAGTCATGCTGTGCCACGCCCCATGCCTCCCGTATTTGACAACTTTTTGCATAATTGCAATTGCCAGCAGATGAAAGACGAAGAAGAAGAGCGAATGCACAAGGAAAAATGTTTATAACTCTATTTATTTACTACTATTAAACTACAATTAAAAAAAATAATTTTAGAACATATAGATATTTTATAGTATTTAGAAGAAAAAATATATTTTCACATGAAAAATTTTATTTATACAATAGTTTTTAAAAGATCTGTATAAATCCATGTGTGCATTTTTTGGATTTAATTAAAGAAACACTAAATCTTGTCGTTTAGTTTTGAAACAATACTTATAACAAACAATTTTTTTTAAATATTTAAATTACATTCTACTGTTATGTTAAAAAAGTATCCAATATTTTAGTTTATATTATTTTTCCCTCAGTGTTTCAGGTCGAGGCCAACGCCGTGGACCATTCATAAATTTCGAGCCAACTCATAAATACGGCAGCAAAGGCTATCGAGGTGTTGGCCTTACAATCTCACGCCGTGATGATGCCTGCAAACCAACCGAAAACCCCCCTCAACCCATCGATCCTTTCCTTTGGCCTCTTGGCTGATTTAATGCAATGCCAAAACAAATTGTTATGTTGGGGCCGCTTGCCGCCCGCAATTAATCAAAGTTCTCGCATTACAATTAATCAAAAATCGCCATCCTTCTTCTTGGTCGGATATCTGGATTTCTGAAGGAGCGCTGCTCTGCTTGCCTTCTGCTCCTGGCCATAAATATCATTGCCAGTTGGCGATATATCTTGGCCAAATAGAATTGGCGGCGTCAAAAAGCTCACCTTAGATGTCGCACCGATTCGTTGACATATTCGCATTGTTCCCATAAATCAAATATATATATATCTCTGGTATATCTGGAGTGGGAGTAGAATGGGCATCGAAATCGACAGCGGCTTTCGTCCTTTCATCGCCCAGCGATCGGTGATCAGGCGGCAATTTGATGGCCATGAACAATTGACAGTTGACTTTTGATTTGATCAGCATCAGGAATAAGATTCAATGATTTCTAGGCTCCAAGGCAAGACAAAAAAGATTCCAAATCTTGTTTTTTTGTTTAAAGATATCACAGAGTTACAAAAACTTTAACAAGAGATCATCAAATATGGATTTGGAGAATTAAACCCAGTGATTTCTTAAAAAAGTAATATTATTTCATAGCAATAAAAAGCCGATATTGTATATGTCAAATTTATGATGCATACATAGCAAAAAGATATTTTATCATATTTCATAATATACCCAATCTAGTTTTTTTAAACAAATAATGTAAAAAAAGATAAACATAATCTCTATTCATATCAAAATGATATGAATAACTTGATCTTTAAAAAATATAAAATTGACTAGCACATATCAATATGATTTTTTGTCAATACTTTTTTTGTGTATACATTTTAATACTTTATAATATAGTAGAGGCTTAATATCCGATCACCAATTAAACAAGAAATCCCCTTAAATCGACACCGCTCTTTAATCAAAATGAAACCCCAAGTGAATCGTGAAGCAGCGTTTTCTCGCACCCAAAAATGACACAATTCCACAAGTAATGACAATAAACTGACCTTGTATTGAAAAAATGCTACGGTAGCTGCGCGCTGCTGCTGTCCCTTAATCGAGGCTCCACTGTGCCAAAAGGGTGCCGCTTTGGAGAAGTGTGGAAAAAATGATGCGATGTCAAGTTATTGACAGGCCGAGTCGATATTAATGACGACTTCATCTTCATTCGCCTGGATATGCCATATATGCAGAGCCTTTTTCCTTTGCCCCTCTTCGATTTTTATCCCCCAGGTTTTTTCGTTTCGTTTTGCTGTCGCCGTGTCTTACTAGCAATTATTGAACTAGTTAGTCGGCCCCAAGACAGAAAAGCAGACGACGATCCTCGATTCATTTTGGAGTTCAATTATGATCGTAAGCAAAGCAGCAGCAGCCGATCAGCGATCAAAAAGAAGCAAGAGCCAAAGGCAAAAGGCAAAAGCCACACGACATATACATACATATTTAAGCCAACATGTCAACATAATTTATATTAAATTTTTGTGTCAGATAATGATAGCGCCTCATGCTGCCGATCGCCGATCCTCGAACAAAATATATCTGCATGAAGCTGCGGGCCGAAATGCATATATATGTATATACAAAACAGTTAAGCAAAATATACCTAAACAAACTGGGACTTTCGGAGTTTTAAAATCATTTACATACGAGTTTTGAGTTTTGATGCTATATATATCATTGGAAATTCTATATAAATACAATTGCAAGAAAACACAAACATTAAACATTTCAAATATTTTATTTAGTAAAATCAAATAAATTTTTTAATATTAACAAAAAACAGAATAATCAAAATTTCCTTTTTTTCAAGTACCACAATTTTAATTTAAATCAAATACATTTCTTATTATTTAGGTGTACGGATTTGAGTTAAATATAATATTTTAAAATATCTGAAAATAAATTTCCCTTGTTTTTCAGTACAAGAATTTTTGTATTTATTGTGCTCATGAATTTTATGTAAACATTTTAAAATACCTGGAAAATCCATTCCATTTTTGTAAAATATTTTTAAAAGCTGCAGAGTCCCAATCCAAACCATAACAGAGTTTTCCCTTTTATCAACGAGCCACGGCGAATTTGTATTGCATCAACATGAATTTTGAATGACCGACCGGATATGATCGATTCTTTCGGCCTTTGGCCATCTGGTTGAAAATCGGGGATGCCCGGCGACCTGTTTTCTATGCTCAGATGTCCTCGAATGTCCCATCCTCAGATGTCCTTTCCAAACGCAATGCCATGCACTCTCCCGCGGCTGCAGCAACGAAGTGTTAAACGAGGCCCAGCGTGCGCCTCAGCAGAAAATGCCAATTCAAATCTATTTCGGCACGGTTTCCTAGCGTGCAACCAAAAATCCTCCAGCGGCGTCGATCGATTCGGACAATGGAATTTCCTATCCTAAATGCTTTCGAAATGCTTTTGACTTTCAGAACCGAGAATCGAGAACCGAGAGAGAGAGAGAGAGAGAGAGGAACTCCAACTGCTACGATGGACATAAAGGACCCCGGGGCATTAGGAGTGTTAATAGAAAAGTGCCTCTGGCTGATCAGGTTTCTGGGCAGAATATGTATAGGATCTATGCGATCGAATGGATCACCCTTTGAGGTGTTGACGAGTCGGCGGCGGCCTTGGAGGATCATCATAAAACTTTTGGATTCCAGCAGCCCAAGGTCTAATTTTCAATGATTGCCAAATGACTGCGGAGATCAGAAGGTCATCGGTGAGGACAAAGGAGTTTGAAATGTTCCTCCTTTTTTTTTACAAATTTAAAACTTCATCATATAAAATACCAGGCTTAGTATTTTTTCAACAAATAATGTAAAAAAGGATAAACATAATCTTTATTCATATCAAAATGATATGAATAACTGAGTAGCACATATCAAACTGATTTTTGGCCAATTTTTTTTATAAATAAATATTTAGCTTTTCACTAATTTAATTTTTTAACATAAGAATATATAAATTTTGTTTATGATTTCTTTAATTGATATTTTATATATCTCCTTCTTTCTTAATTCTAAATTTTTTATTTTATACAGTCTTTTCCTGCCTTAAATCAATGAATAAACGTAATACTTCACAGTCAAGTATTTGTTTAGACCCCCTGATTTATTGTGGCTCAACTATTAGAGTCATAAAAGCTGGCTCGCCACTTTCATTAGGATCTGGAGCTCCTTTTTTCAAAGGGGTTGCTTCTTGTCTACTGGGATCTCAAGTCTGCATCGTTTTGCTTTTAATTTTTTTTTTAGTTAAACCGGTTGGCAGCCGGCACGCGACAGAGCCAGGTTTTAAGTTTTGCTGCGCAGACGCGACCGACGACACAGGCAGCTGAAAATGGGTAAAAACACTCAGTTTGTCGGACAGAAGAAACTCTGTTCCCAGCTCGAAAAAGCAGGGAACACTCGATTGAGCAAAAGGCAGCTGCAATTTGCAGAGAGAAGAGAAAGAGAAAATCAAAGAAAAATACTCCACTCAAGAGACTTTGACTTCGATCCTTGAGTGATGATGCTGTTGCACCTTTTTTCGTTCGAGGGGCAGGTAGATGATAATAACGCAGGTGAGATCCCTAGGCCCTGGAACCCCTATAAATAGCCCGAACGGAACGGGGAAGGGCATCAGAACGGAGCCAGCGCTCAAGAAGAGATCATCTTGTATATCTTCAACTACATTCGAAATTCTATAATACAAACGAAAAATGGCTCTGGGCAGCGAGAATCAGTCCTTTTTCTACGACGATGAGGAGTCTTCATCATCATCCCCGGTCACCACTGGGCCCTCAGTCATCCGGCGGAATGCCCGGGAACGCAATCGCGTCAAGCAGGTCAACAATGGCTTCAGCCAACTGCGGCAACACATTCCCGTCGCCGTGATTGCCGATCTGAGCAATGGTCGTCGTGGAATCGGCCCAGGTGCCAATAAAAAATTGAGCAAAGTCAGCACACTGAAAATGGCCGTTGAGTATATACGCCGATTGCAGAAAGTCATTGATGAAACCGATCAGCAGAAGCAGCAGCAGCAACAGTTGCAGTTGCAGCAGCAACATATGCAATTCCACCAGCAGCAGCAACATGAGCAACTTCAACAGCAACAGCAGCAACACTTTTACGCCTGGCAACAACAGTTGCAGTTGCAATCGCCCACTGGCAGCGTGAGTTCCTGCAACAGCAACAGCAGCAGCAACTCCTATTACACACCAGCAACATCGACGATTACGGCAGCAACACCTTCGTCGCATGTTGTTCCCAAGCTGGAAAACAGCTATGAAGACTACCGCAACAATTCCTGCAGTTCGGGCGCCGAAGACGAGGACATCCTCGACTATATTTCCCTGTGGCAGGATGATCTGTAGGGAAATCCCTTCGAAAATCTCCTGCAATTGCTAGTCGCACACACACAACGAACCATTGATTGGCCAACAAAAGTATTACCTCAGCCACAAAGTATTTATGTAACCCAAAACGAACCACCTTTTTTTTTCCTGTACAAATTAGTTGTTAAGTTTTTATATAGTTTATAAGTCTTAGCTTGTAGAAAAATGGAAGACAATTTATACTTAAGAATCTCTTTTTTTTAAAACAAACATGGAGGACATTAAACTGATATTTTATTACAATGAAATTTTTTAATGAGTTTATTTTATGTGGAAAATGGTTTGGGTTTGGGGATGAAAAATTAAATCATCTTAAATTTCTGATACTTTAAAGATTTTTACAAATGTTCTTTTCTGTTTTATTTATCTTGTTTTCTCTCAAAATTTCAGTTATTCACCTGCAAAAAAATATTTTACTACCAAAAATAACCAAAAATGTAACTGAAACGTTACCGTTACGTATTTGCAAGATCACCGATCGACAGGAAATTATCCAAACAATTTGTCAGGACTTGTGGATCGAAAAGGCCACTTTGCATAAATAACTAAATAAAAAAAAAAGCTGGATTAAGTTGGTTGAAAAAAGAAGCCTGGTAATTTACTTGCTGCATTTTTGCATATGGTCAGAGCAAAAGTTAATCAGAGACCGAGTTCCGACAATTCCCAAGCGATCGATCGATCGATTGTTGGACTAATTTTGAGTTATTCCAGCAATGCAGCGCGAACCAGAGGCAGAAACACAGGTCGGCAATTGTTCAGAGATCGCCCCCGACAAAAAGAGGAATCCGCTGGGGTCTTTTCGCAACGGAAGCTGTCGCGCGATGAAGTTGCCACAGATAAAATTCACATAGGCCGCATATGTACATATAAATAAAGCAAGGCAAATGCCAAACGTCATTGAACTTGTCCATGGAGATTTTCCTATGGGATTCTTTTCTCATACCTACTATATGTTTTTTTCTACATCCCACGCGCATTTCCTGTCCTGCAAACTGGACCTTATTGATAGATCAATGAATAAATATTGGGGGGTTTGCACTTCCGTCACTTCGGAACTGGAGGAAGTCGAAGCTATATAACTGATCTCCCGTTTCGAACAAGATTCCATATGCCAATCGATTCGTTATGCGGAGCAAAAGAAGAGCAGTGAATTCGAACGGCCCTGCACAGAAACAAAAAATATAAATTTATCAATATAAATATTAAAATGTATTAAATATAATTATGGTTATTAATTATTGCATACAATTTGGTTTAACGTTGATATATTTTATTGTCATTATCTACCCATTTTATAGCTCCACAGTTTATATTTTACAACATATTTACACTTTATATCTTAAACTCCAAACTTAAATTACCTTCAATTTCGCACTCTGTTCTGGGGGCAACTTTGGTGCGAAGAATCGAACGGTTCTGGGGCCCACAGCTCCTCAGCTCTCTTCATGGCGCATTTATCGAATTATTATTTCCGGCGTTTTTCCTGTTTTTGCATTGCATACTATATGAAACGGCTTGTGCACTAAAGTCAAGGAAAAAGAACAAAAATAAAACAGCAACAAAACCGAGGAAGGATTCTCCCAGCGAGGGAGATGGTGATTTCAAGACCCCGTCGTCGTCTCTTTGGGTTCGAAAAAAAGGGAAAAGGTTAAAGGGGGGTTGCTTGGTTGGTTGGTTGTGTTATGTTGTCGATTTCCTCCATTGGCGGTCTCAATGGGCGACATACGACATACGACACAATGTCTCGGCGACAGCAAACGGTGCAAAATCGAACGCTTTTTGTGTGAAGTTAATAATACGTTTGACATGGCCCCGAAAAGGGGATCGATCCCAGAAATATATGCAGAAATATGTAGCAGATCGCTCCAGATCGCCCCGGGGCCGCTTGAAAACCCCTTTGGGGTTTGGGTATGCATACCCCTTAGTTGGGTGGGAAAAGGATATATTGGAAGTGCACAGAAAAAGAATTGACAAAAGATCAAATTGATATGTGCTGGTCAATTTTATATTTTTTAAAGATCAATTTATTCATTTCATTTTGATATGAATAAAGATTATGTTTATCTTATTTTACAATATTGGTTCAAAAAGTACTAATATCAAGTTGATATGTTTAAATCATAAATTTAAATAGAAGAATTTCCCAATAATATTTCACTTATAAACATATTTTTTCATAAGCCCAAAAAACGAGAGGATATCTCTTAGTCGAAACCTTTAGAAAATCTCATTCTTTCTGGCGTTTTCTTTATTTTTTCATGTGTTCAATGCAGGGCACTCTTTACATGCAACGCTGGGCGAATAAATTTATGATTTATTAAGAATGCTCTGATTACAACACAACCCTGGTTCCCCAGACACCGTCTGATGCTGACTGATGTCTCGTAAATAACTTCCAGGGAGCAACAAGTGAGTTATTTGTTTAACATGAACGCGACTTTTTGACTCACAAATGTTGACAAAGAATAATGTAATTTATGTTCGGCCCTGACATCTTTCCAAGATTTCTCCACAGCAAAAAAAAAAATCGGAAAAGGGGAAGAATCTTGCTCCTCGATCTTAAAATGAGTGCTAGAGATTTCACCGCATCGCAATTAGAGATATTCGCACCGATATATATTTCTATATAGGATATCTAAAACTGGGCGTTAGACCCAAGATAAAAAACGAAAAGCCGACAATACCGTCGCGTGCACACAATTGTCCACGTAATTATGATGTTATGTAACTTCTTGCGAAAAACAAGTGCAGCGACAAAGTGGAATACAATAAAGAACCTGACCGACCGAACTGAACTGAACTAAACCGCTCCTCCATTTTCTACACAAAGGTGCACTTGTCATTGTTACAATTTCCCGGGTTTCCAGTTTCCCCCGCTCAACAAAAATGTTCAATTTCCCAGCCCCGACAATTAAAAACGCCCACCAAACTCGATTTTTTTCAAAAAGGGATCCTGTGAATCCTGAATCATGTTGCGTGCGTTTGCGTTCAAGGATCAGGAATTAAGAATTCTGAAGTTTTCATTAGTTAAGCTGATTATACTTGACAATGCAGCTGAAATGATAATGATGCGTTCTGGTCCCTCGCAAAGTACGTAATTCATAATGGGCATCGATTCAAGAGGATTATTCTGGGTTGCGTCATCATTTGAAGGCCATTAAAAATTATTGAAAAAGATCACAAATGGGTCCAATAAAACTATCAAAGGGGATTATGATTTTGGATAGGAAAATTGTTGTTGACTACGAAGAAGAAAGTTTTAGTTAAATAAATTTATAAATATATTTTATACTCTATAATATTGTAAAATTTTTTAACAAATATAGTTGTAACGACTCTTCCTTTCGTTCATTAACTTTCTGCCACCAAAAAAATGCCTTAATTACCACGCCAAAATGTCTTAATTCAACCGCGGGGCTTTCACTTTGCGAAATTATTTAAATTAATTACCTTGAGTGCGGCACACGGTGATCATCAAAAGCGTTCTTTCCTTAATTATAGACTCGTGCAGGGAGCAGCAGCTTTCTTTAATTGCCACAGAGCAAACAAAATAAATAAATTGGGGACACTGGTGGGCTGGAGAAACTTTTGAGCAAAGTTAAAAATATAAATGAATTTGGTTTCGATTTCGATTTTAGGCATTTATTCCCTTAAAAAATATTATTTTGTTCTGAAAGAAATATATTTTTTTTTAATCTTTCCTAGGAGGATTCTATGGCTTTTTCAAGTCCCGGGGCTGTGCAGCAAACCATCAGAACGGCTTTTATAATGAAATTTATGACATTTAATTGGATCAGAAAAGAGCTGCGAACATATTCAACTGCTGGCGGGGAATTCCAGGATCCGCGAGACTAGACGAAGTCGCGTGGCATTGCGCCGTTGAAATCGAGTCTCTTATATATTTAAATGCATTCGGATTCGGATTGCATTCACTGCGTGACTGGGCTAATTAGTCGCCCTGCACTCTCTCCCTTTTTTCCCCCCAAGATTTACAGATAAACATTGGCGGGTGAAATAATAGAACAGCAAAGTGAAAATATTTTAAAATTTTAAATTCAGGAAAATATACCTACTACATTATTATTAATTGGAAATTAATAAATAATTTAAATAGATTTGGTAAAATAATTAATATAAAATAAATAAATTTTAGATAAATAAAATCACAGAAGACTTTAGTACCTTTAAAATTCTTTAAAAATAAATTTAATTTCATCGTAAATTACTATTATTTCTGCCGCAGCTGTATGTATAAGTGATCTCTCGGCCGTCGAAATTCACTTTTGATTTCATATGCATTTCATCAAATTGCCGCTGCGCACGCGCATGCCAAAAAGGCAGCGACTCTCGAAGGTGGAGATAAGAGACCTTGGTTTGATTTGAAAATTACTCGAAAAAAAACAGAAAAAGCACGGGCAGCAGTCAAGAAAAAATTAAAAAAATATATAGGTACAACAACAACAAAAAAGGTATAGGTATATAAACTGCAAAACAGCAAAAACGGGTTGCAGCCGATGCCAATTAAATGTGGTCCAGTCCACATCGCTGTTCCCCGAGTTCCGAGGTTCCCGATCCCCAATCCCCGGTCCTCAATCGTCGGAACTCCGTTGTCATTGCCGCCGCGGTTTACTTCAAATGGGAGACGCGCGCGTCCAGCGCCAAAATGGCAATCTTTTTGAAATTTATGATGAAAAAATGAACACTGTCGCTTTTTTGAACATTTTAATTATACACACACAGACAGACGAGGGATATATATATTTTTTTTTGGATGTGGATTGGAGATTTTCGGAAGATACCACTATGTTCAGCGGCGCCCCGTCTTAACCGGTAGCCAAATGCACTCGCAGAAAATATGAGCGTATTTCAGGGAATCTATAAAGAACAGGGATTTCTGTATTCTATTTTTATGAAACCATAATTTTTCGGTGCACTTTTTACAAATAAAAATATTTGAAATATTTTATTATATAGAAGTGTCATTTCAACAAAAAGCCGACATGATTAATGTCAAATTTATGATTCAAGCATATCAACTTGATATTTTATCATTTCATAAAAGTCATAAAAATACTGTTTTAAAATATTTTAATATTTCATTATGTCTAGCAAGATTCTTTCCTAATAAAATCATTTTCTCCCTGTGCAGCCACAGGAATCACCGACTTCATCCGGAATGCCAACTTGTTGCGGGCATTTGG